TCGAGAGGAAAAGCGTTGTTAGACCTATCAATAGCTTTTTGGGCAATGATTCCAAGAAATCTTGTTGAGCATAACGAGAAGTGAGGATGGATAAGAACACGAGGATTGAAGTAGAAGATAAGATCAGAGAAATGGCATCCAATACGACAAACACTATGAAGGGTCCTTTCCAGAGGAACACCGGAAGCCCATTGTTTTGGTTGKAGCCACCAGGGATCGTAAAAGCCACAGCAAATACTACARTAGCTATAAGTGCAGCAACAACCATGCATTGACTAGCTGTATCTTTCATCCATTTCTCACCTTGAGAAACCAGTAGTTTGTGGTTCTCAGTGAACAACTCATATGGTGTTAAGCCAGCTTTGTTTTGCTCTTCTCTGTAATAAGGAGGAATCATAGCCTTCACTTCCTACACAATACAACACGAAAAGGGTCGAAAAAGTGTAAATGATATGCTTAAATGCAACACATTTGAATGATGTACTAATGACATATTGTCCATGACTAATCAATGTACGTACCTTGAACCACTGTAATTCGCGTTGCATTTGAAAAGCTACCCCGGACACGTTATGATGTTGGTGGTTGTGCGCGTTCTTTCCGACTAAATGCAACATATTGTTTTGTTCGGTGTCTCTAAGACGGGTTATCARATCCTTCATCGACCCTATTTCRTGTAACAGATTGTAGATACTCTCGCGACGATGAGAGACAGCRATGTGGAARATACTTTGGTTGTTATCGTTTTTCTTCCATATAAGATCAGGGTATTTACGAATAAGCTCTACTACAAATTCAGTGTTTCCCATTTCTGCAGCAACAAACAGAATGGGTGAGGAGTATGTGAGCTTKTCATTTAATAGAGTCCCGGGGCCTCTCAGAATCTTATCTACTTCARCCTTTGGTCTTTCCACAATGTTTGTCCAAATTTCTCTTAGTAGTTGCATGGCTTCACTTTCCACAGCAGGTTCCACCTTCCAACAAATGATCACTGAGCAACAATATTCCAATGAGAAACCAAGTAGATGAACCAGAAGGTCAGATATATACACGTTTCAAGACCGTTTATGACAAAATCTAGATAGCAGAGTTAAATACAGTGGTGTAACAAATGTACGATGAAGGATGCTTACTTGACGACTTGATGATTCTCCAAAGAGTATGTGGGTCGCATTTGTTAAACGCAGAAGGGTTTCGAGCCAAAACTCCCAGTATGCTCTCACTTTGAGCAAGTAATTCTTTGTGGTTTCTCAATATTATTAATGCAATATCTACAAAGATTTAAAAATCCTTTAAAATGATCGAGGAAAAATGTCATATGATGAAAGCAACGACTACAASAAAATTGGATTTATACAACRTCACAAATTTTTAAGCGTCCTAGTAGACTGTTGTATAAGACTTAATTTATAGCACCAAAAAATAAACTAACACTTACCGAAGAAACCAACCTTGACGCATTTCAACAAAAGCCATTGCTTATCCGAAGTTTTCCATTCAGTTCCTTCCATCTTCTTAGACTTTTCATACAGATACTCAACCATATCATGGTTTCCATAAAAAGCTGCAACACTAAGTGGCATCAATCCTTCACTACCAGGGATCATCAGCAGGTTCTCGTTCTTGGTCACCATAATGTCGGCTATTTTGACGTTTCCAGCTGCTGCTGCTAAACAGAGGGCAGTGTCGCCAGTTTTAGTCTGAAGTTGCAAGTCTTCCCTTTTCATCTTTTTCACAAGATTAACCATGAAATTGGCGCTTTGAGCTGATGCAGCAACATGAAGTGCTGTTTCACAGTTTTCGGTGATACTATAACGCACCAATGCCATATCTTCTTTATGTTGATCAAGGATGCGATTTGCAGCTTTCCAATCTCCTTTGATTGAAGCTTTACATAGAGGAACACAAATATTGATGAAGTCTCTTCTTCTGTCATCTAAGTACTTCCAAAAATTAAGGCCAAGCACCCAAAGAGTATATATAATGCAGTTATATCTTGTAAACATGTAAGAGTAAAATGCGTTGTATGAAAGAAGGTACCAGCAAGTAGATCTTGACAAGGAAGATCAAAAACTCGTGATGTTGGTGGTGGTGGTGGTGGGGTTGGTATCGCAGCATGCTGCTGAATTACTGCATTCCGCTCAGCCATTGGAACTAATTAAGCTCGTTGTCTGACTGCTTATCAGCTTATCTCCCTGCAATAATTCGAACCGATGGACATAAGAAATTACTACAGAACAAAGTTAATTACTTCTGCCATTATCCATGTTATTAAATACCATAGAATAGATAATTGACCACTAACGTGAACGATTGCTTACTCTTTATTTTATTAATTCTCGTGTAAAATTAGACAATATTAATTAGAGTTGGAAACTATAAAAAATACCTACAAGTCAACAATTACTTATATATTGGCTTAATCATGCATCTTGGATATAAAATCCTGCATAAAATATTATTCAAAATTAGAGTAAATTGCACTAAAAAATAACGTAATTTAACTTAATTTATATTTTGGGTAACGTACTTTTAGAATCTTTCATTTTGATACATAAGATGTAAAGTTTTAAACAGTTAAGTACCCGGATAACCGGTTGAATCATTAACCGGTTACCATGTTGATGTGACGAATGATGTGGTATTCGGTTAATGTTTCATCAAATAATACTGAGTTGGATACCACATCACTCGTCACATCACATCAGTATGGTAACCAGTTAATGCTTCAACCGGTTACCTAGATACTTAAATGTTTAAAACTTTACATCTTAGGTATCAAATTGGAAGTTTTGAAAGTATGTTATCCATAACAAAAATCAAGTAAAGTACGTTACTTTTTAATGCAATTTATCTTTAAAATTATATTATATCAACTTTTATTTTTGTTTAGATATCAATAGATGATAATGATCATTCCAAGATTCAAGGTGAAAGTTTGTCAAGACTCATAAATTAAAAAATAACGGATGCTTGGGAAACCTAACCAAAGTTAAATCACAAGTCACCAAACAAGTATCTTGATCTGAATTCAATGTGGTTGATTTAATAAATTAAGTTACAAATAAAATTATTAATTATTATTTTACAATATATTTCTGTTAGATCAAAATAAAATTTTGAATATAAATACATACATAAAAAGAGAGAGAGAGAGAGTCAAGTTCAAACGAGAATAATACATAAATAAGAAAATGGCCAAATAACAGATAGAAAATTTTGAGTTTATAGGACACATGTCAAGAGTCAAAATTAAAGTGTCATAATATAGAAAAACTATTCATTTCAAAGTCGTCGTGTTGTCTAAATCACTGTTAAGACATTCAAAAGCGTCGTATAAACACATTTACATATAACACATATGTGTTCGATCCTATAAAATAGTCTATAAAACATTTCAAGTTTTTTATCGTTCTATAAATCCGATTTTATTGTTGTGTACAGTTAAAAACATCATTATCTTAATATTTTATAATTCACATGCAAGCCAACTTAATTGCAATTGTATTTTTATATTGCATTCTTTAATCTTGTTCTCCTTAATTTGCGGTCAACGTGAGCCTTATTCTATTGTTTTATGGTAGACTTTTGATTATATAAAATGCAAAAATTAAGTTGTAGTTAGAGCATCATAATATCTCGATAACTCAACACCTACATAATTAATTAGATTTTAATATTTTATAGGGTTGGGTTTCAATGAGAATAAGAGCTGTTGTGAGAAGAATAAGAAGAGATTTTTCATCTTTAGATCAATTATAATTGAAGATTTCTACCGGATCAACACTAATGAAAAGCACCAGATCAATTTTCTTCTAAAATTGATCAAGGGTTTAAATCTCTTGTTACGACACTTCTCACTTTAACTTCTGTCCCAATTAATGTATAATAAACATTGAAGTTACAAACTTGATTAAAAACAACAAAGTCAACGGCTAGTTTTTTAAGTATTGTCTTAATTATGTATTGTGAATACAAATTAAGATTAGAAGTCATACATAAACCACCATTACTTAATTAAATAAGCACATGTACATTCCAAGATCCAATGTCCAAGTTTTTCGCAACTCAAAATTCAGACATATACTTATATTAGAAAGGTACTTACGTAATGCAACGAGATAGATATCGATTTAAAGTTTCTTTTTATTCTTTGTCTCTATCGATGTCATATACAATTTTATGTGGTTTTAAGAATTCGATAATGTTTTTATTTTTTGAATAAAATAGAGATTTAAAAAAAATATCGATATTAGTATCAAATTAACTATTTAAAATCTCTAGTACCATCAAGTTAACTATTTAGAAGTTCTTATTTTTTGTATAATTTCTTTAATTTAATATTTTTATTATAATTTAATTTAAGTTTAATTGGAAATAATTTATTTTTAGTTTAATAATATAATTTTTCATAAAGATATTAAATATAAAATCATCAATTTAATTAACTGATTATCTAACTAATAAATAATTTGAAACAAGAACAAAATTTGAAAGATGGAATATCAATTAAAAACATTAGCATTAAATTACACATCACATGCGTTTAGATGGATTTAAAATCAATTGGCTACTAATTACAAACAAGGTCCACGTTGACCAAATATAAAGCAAAAAGTCTACTTACATTGCTTATCCATATATATTGTTAAGAAGTTATATATTTTTGAACCAGAAGTGTGGTTACTGAATGGTTTGAGATTGAAAAAGATCGACGCAACAGCCACCATGACGCATCGTGGCTCAAGACTCGTGTCTCATTTATGCTTGAGACATGACACGACGTAATGGCGGTTTTTGTAACACGATGTTTGATTTTAATTATCTTTTTAATGTCGTATTTGTTTATTTTTAATATATAACTTAAATTAAATTGTTTGGCATCATTGATTTTGAGTCATAATAGAAAACATAGGTTTATATATATATAATTGTATATATAATATACATATTTACCGTCATAAATCACGTATTGAAAAACACTGCGATCTCATTATGGCTTCCAAGACATGAGGTTGACCTAGCTGTCACGTCATTTAAAATCTTGCATAGATGATTTATTGGTTTCTAAAATATTCGAACAGAATTACAAAGGCATATTCGTTAAACCACTGGGCTCAAGATGTTGGCACAGTCAATGTTGGGCCTTGCTATTAACAACATGTTGGGCTGAACCAATTAAGTCCCACGTGCGATTTTCTTGCAATGCTCAACATTCATCGTTCATGGATTGTAGTTTCAACTTTCAAGTAGTGAAACAAACCAAACAGTTAACAGTGTCCTATAACATAACTAATATGACATTTTATTTTAAAAGCATCCTGAAATAACTTGTTAAACCGTCTAAAACATTATATAAACCTATTGTAACGTTTTTATATATGACGCTTCTAGTTTGCTCCTATAAACCTAAGTTTTATAAAGTATTCTATTAGGACGCTTAGATAATCTAAACACCCTATAAAGCCCGATTTTATTACGATGTAAAAAGAGACAGAGGTGAATGAAAGTTTATAACTTTGTATTTTTTATGATAAAATTGAGGTGGATCCTTGAGTTTTATAAAGTTTAAGAAAACATCTTTAAGTTTTATAATTTATAAGAGAAGACCCTAAAATTTCATAAACATTAATAGATGAGCTTGATTTGAGTTTGAGACTATTTCGAGCTTCAAACAAGTTTTAGTTATAAAAAATTGCAATCTAGTTCGAGTCGAGTCTTGTTTTTAACTATCCACAAATTTTTGAGTTGAGTTCGAGCTTAAAAAATACTATCGATTTCAAGTGAAGTATACCAAAATTTTAATCTAACTCAAAGTCCTCTCCTTTTCATATATTAAACTATCAAAAAAGCAACTGTATGCATGTTACAATTCAGCCATATAAAAAAGGTAAAACTTTTAGTGCTGTACGTCATGTCTGTATAAAACAAGAATAATCCATATCTAGATTTTACATGCTACCAAAACATTCAATACTAAAACCGCAAAATGAAACTAAAATGAGGTTGTTTGGTCTGAATATACCAAGAATGGATTATTTTGAGGAAATAATTAAACCAAGTGGCTGAATCAAAACATTAAAGGAACTTAATTAAACCAAGTGGCTGAATCAAAAGTTGGAAAATCCAGCAGATGACATAACACGCATGGAGTTGGAAGGCTCCCATGGCCTCACCCATGGTTCTTGAACGACATCCCCGTAGCGACTGCAAACGCTCTTTGCGTACTCCAATCTCTTCTCCAACTCTTGCTTTTGTGATCGCAATACCATGTTGTCCATCTCCGTTGCAGCGTGTCCCGTTGTGATTCGTTCGATGTTTAGAACCATTTCCTGTTTCTTTTTCGAGAAATAGAAGATTTGGTCGTTGAGATCCTTCATGTGTTTTTCTTTCTTCATTCTGGACCTCCTTGCCGATTCTCGATTTGAGATCATTCTCTTCATCTTCTTGTTCTCATCATTCACCATCAGATGACCTTTTGATGACATGCTTCGAATCGACAAACGATTGTTTATATGTATATATACGAATAAGAAAGAAGAAAATTCAAGAAAGTGAATAGAACCAATGGAGAAAGACGACGGAGAATGATTGAACAAGCCTAATCTTACTAAAAATTGTGGCAAAAATCATATCACTTGGGAATTTTGTGATGTGTTTTGTTCTTGTCTGAACATTACATATATAGCATCATATATAATGGACTTGTGTGTGTTTGTGTGTGTGAGAGAGAGAGAGAGATCTAGAGAGAGAATGTGTGTGTGTAGATGATCTTGGAGGAGGGTAAACATTTATAGAAATAGTACAAGGAGGAGGACAAATATTCTGACCTAAATAAAAAGTCTTGTGTGCATGAATAAAGACTTTTTTTTTCTGAAAGAAACGTGAGTAATTTGATAGCTTCCTTTTGGAATTTGGATAAGGTTGAACTTTTAACAATCATTTTCTCCATCATCTATATATATATATATATATATATATATATATATAAAAGTTGGTTATTATACAACCCTTTTACATTTGTACAATCAATATAACTCAATCTCAACCGTCCATTTAATTTGATGAATATGTGATTTCATAGAAGTTTTGATTGTTTATTAATAAAAAGTATTGATCATAATTAATGAACCATATTCATCTTCCATAAATATTCAAATCATAATAATTAAACTCTCATCATTTCTAAAAATATCTCAATTAATTGGGTTGCATTGATTGTACAAATGGACATGGTTGCATTTGAAATATATATATATATATATATATATATATATATACCCTATATATGAGGTTGGTTATTATACAACCCTTGACATTTGTGCAACCAATACAACGATCAATCTCAACCGTCCATTTTACTTGATGAATATGTGATTTCTTAGAAGTTTTGATCGTTTCCTAATATAAAGTATTAATCATAATTAAAGAAATCTATTCATATTCCATAAATATTCAAATCATAATAAATGAACTTCCATCATTTCTATAAATATCTCAATTAATTGGGTTGTAAGGGTTGTATAAATACACAAGATTGTAAAAAAAATATACCATATATATATATATATATATATATATAAGATTGGGTTGACGTGAGATCCGGCTGTTTTTCATAAGACACGTGAGATAATATTTTTATATTTGAAACTTCACAGTAAAACGTTGTGAAGGAAAAAAGAAGCCAAACCTTTACAGCAAAAAAATATAAAGGTTACCTTCACAGTGTTTTGCTGTGAAGCTTTAAGTGTAAAAAAGTGGTCTCACGGTTCTCACAAAAACATACTGGTCCCACATGATCTCAAGTCTATATATATATGTGTGTGTGTGTTAAACAATTAATGAATTTTTTTTAAAAATCATATCTTAGTTCAATTAGTTTTACTAGGTGTATAGCGTAAGTTATCTGACCTGATTATAACTGAACAACCAAAGTTTAATATTGAATTGTAATTAATTGATACAATTTGTTGCAATAAATAATCGGTAGTAATATTCGATGAAATCCAATGAATCATATTTGATTCGTTTATCAAAACAATTGATTGGACAAGTTGTTAAAATATAATATCCAATTGATAATTGTATCGTATATAGTATAAACGCCTTCCAAATCCATTGAATTTAAACCTGTGAACACCTTTAATTTTTATACATAAATACTTACATATTTATTAAATACGTAGAGATACATATAAAATATATATATATATATAATGACATTTATAGGTGTGATTATTTCGGAGGGATGAAAATGACATGATGGAGCTAAATTCATGAACTTCGACATCTAAGCAACGATGGAAACCATAAGGATGGTGCTTGATTGCTTTTGAGTTTGAGCTTTAAAGGTCAAAAGCGTCTAGAGGTTCCAGGTTCAAATCCAATGAGGAATAAAAATTCTCTTATAGTCACGGAAATTCAGATACGATGACTCTGAACTACCCACAAAGCAGACGATTGTTATTTATTATCATATTTATTAATTCGTACTGGTTTTTAATATAATTTAATGAATATGTTGATGTCGTGGGCAATTAATTAATAGTTTTATTAAAGAAAACATATTCAAACAGAATGCAAATAAGTAACGAGTTGTCACGTATTAATTAAGAATTAAAAGAGGTATTGATGTTAGTCACTATCAAAACCATATGATTATTAAAATCCAAATATCAATACTACGACATCATCAACAACTCCAAGAATCCAAATTTGCTACTTTATAATTAATATGAGCTTATTGTCAATTAATTTTGTAAATACAAAATATAAAAATACACGTATTTAGACAATCAGTTGATCTTTTAATAAAAAATCATCAATTGATTATACATTTGATATACATAAAAGCACAGATAAAACTGAACAAGACATGTAATTTCAGTAAGATGAGGAAGACGAGTGAAATGATTGTACAAGGTAATTTACAATCTTGTCCCTCACTTCTTCATTTTCATTCCAGCTATTTCGATGTCTGTCCCACCAGTCATGTCTTCTTGCATTAATGTTATCCTATACCGTAAGTTTGCCTATTTTTTAATTTACGGTTTTTATGAAAAACCTATTTTCATTTATTTCGTATCACGTCATGGCAATTTATTCAGCTTTATTTTGAATAAAAACAATCAAGTTATACGAGATATTTAAGCTTTTCAAAAAAAAAAATCACAATTAAATTGACTTAATTTTCTAGCTCAACATCATTAAGTCGTCTTTATCTATTGCTATGAGGATTAGTTAGAGGAACTTATTTCGGACTGAAATAGCAAACCAAAGGGTTGATTCTTAAACGCTTACTGATGAGAATTACAATCCTTGCATATATTTTTGCATAACATTTTTTGTCATCAAAATAAATTGTTTATAAGTGTCTCTTACCGGATATACGCTAACCAGACAAGAGTTTTTTCTTTCACTTATGACATAAGATATCAGATTAATACTATAACTAGCGGATAAAATTATCAGTGTTTGTTATTTTGATCCGATAAAATAAGTGATACCTGATAAGTTTTTGTTTTTTTATTAACCTGGATATCCAACCCGCTATGTGAGCCGACTAATCTCGGAACGACCACCTGCTTTGTAAATAGTTCGGAGTCACCGCATTTGAATCTCCGTGGCCACAAGAGGATTTTTATTTCTCCTTGGATTTGAACTTGGGACCTCCTGATACTTTTGACCTTTGGAGTCAAGCTCAAACCAATCAGACACCACCCTTATGATTTACCCGATAAGTTTTTGGTATAATCCCTAATTAAAACCCTAAACTATGGGTTCTAAATTAATTTATCTTATATTATAATTCATTAATTTATCAAGTAGTTCAATTTTATTTCTAACCAAGAAATTTAAACTATATAGTCTATTATGGATGTGGTCCTTAAAGTTTAGGGCTTGTTATGAAATTGGCCCCCGAACTTAATTTATTACCTATAAACACCAGGGATTTGCACCTTTTGTTGGATTTGGTCATTTTGCCCTAAGGACTGTTCACTTTATCCGTTAATACGTATCACTCTTTTTTTTTTCAATTTTCTTTTTTTTTTATTTTTCTTTCGTTTGATGTTCATCTTGTTCCTTTCAAGAATAAAGAATATCAAGACTAAGTTCATACAGTTTCAAGAACAAATTTATACGATCTGAATCAAACTATAAATCAAAAACTTATCAAAAATCAATAACTAGTTATCAAACCTTAAATCGTGAGCAAAAGAAAACAATAGATCCACAAAAAAAACTCAGAAAAACAATTGGATTCGGCGGTGACGGTCTACGGATAGGATTCAAGAACACAAGAAACAAATGAATTTTATGTTGGGAGAAAAAGATAGAGATGTAGCAGAGTTGTATGATTACTCTGCCATCGACAGTTACGCTTCAGACAGAATCACAAGAAACCCCAGAAAAAATCGTTGGGATCGATAGCCACTGTAATGGATCAGATTCGTTGAAAACCCACTTCGACCCTTGATCTTCATTGCAACAACAAGATCAATCCATGGATCTTTGTTGCAGAGAAATTGGAAAATCAAAAGATTCATAGTAACAAAAAAAAACGTTAAAGTGATGGAAACAACAAATCACAAATTTGCCCTCATAATTAACGGAGCAAGTGGACGACCGTTAGAGAAAATGATCAAATCCAACAAAAATGCAAACCCCAAGAATTTTTAAGAAAATAAAAAAGTTTAAGAAATGTCAAAAAAAAGTTTACCGATCATTTTGTAATAACCCCTAAACTATAAGGACCAAATTTATTACTCGCTTTAAATTATATTAACCAACCAAAACAAACTACTTCAATTTGTGCCATGGGTCATCACCCCCTTGTATGCAAGGAAGTGGGCATACAGGTGTTATCGAGGTCGAATGATTTTGTACCTTGGTCCTCATTTAATCTTTTAGTGTTTTAACTTCATTCTGAACAATTATTAAAGAATTATGTTTCAATTTGTACTATATTATAAGAGACTTTTAATCATTTTATACTAAACCATTCAACAACTGTCAAACAGTTTATTAACCTGATACAGTGATATAAACTTTATATATATATATATATATATATATATATTTTGTAAATGAACTAATTTCTAGGAGGAAGACAAGTATTGTGACTACAAGTCCTTTATGCGTATGCAAAACGAGACTTTAATGAAAAGATTTGTTGGGTTTTGAAATGGATAAGATTAAAAATACTTTATAACAATCATATCCTAAAAAAACAAATTAATCAAATAATATACATTTTTAACGATGTTTTTAAAAATATAAAGTTACAGATAAATAGTTCTTTTGATATTTAGCAGGTTTTTAAAAAGATTAATAAAAAGTTTCAAAATCACCATCCATTGATTTACATCATATGATCATGTACGAACCTATGTATCTCTAAGCGGGCTTTTATATACCCGTTCAACTTATTTTCATAAGTAGGGTTTTTTCAAGGTATGAAAGGTGCACTCATTAAATTTTTAAGAAACGTTATAAGATATTAGAAAATATAAGAAACATCAATTAAAAAACCGAAAAAAATATCTCTAAAAAACCAAAAAAAATCTCTCGTAATCAATCAAAAACTCCATCGAAATGATGAAATTCGGCTAAAAAGATAACGGCAACTTTACAGACCTTTGAATTTGATTATCTTAAAGGTACATCCGTTCGACAAAAATCTTGAATCCTTAAATTTGTTTATATATTTTTTTAAAAAATAAAAAGTAAAATATTAAAAGATGATCTCTTAGAAAAGTTACTTTATAAAAGAAGTTAACCTAAATAGAAAATATTTTTTATATGTGAAATGGGTGGAAACTTCACGAACAAAGCAATGGGTAGGCATATTGTGTGCTTTTCAAAACTGTAATTATTAATAAATAACAGAAATTAAAATAATAATAAATCCAGTAAATTTTTTACTAAATCAGGAAAGATTGCCTACTTAGTCAAGGAAACTACAGTTTTCGTCCTTATGGTTTATTGTGATTTACTATTTTTACCCCTCTACTTACTCAAAATTACATCATTCATCCTCATAGATTGATTTACAATTCATAGTTATCTCCGTTCCTTATGCTTGAACCATAAGACCAAAACCATAGTTTGCTCCTATTATTTATAGGGGTTTGCATAAAGTCATTCGACCCAATTAAAACCGAATGATCATCATCGGATATCTAATTGTAATTGTATTAGATCCAAAATTTCAACTTCCAAATCGAATCGGTCGATTCTTGGATAGCAGTTCAACATCCAATAAAACCAAATCGATCCAATACAATGACCATCCAATAACCTTCAATTATTAACTATATATAATTATTAATATTTTACGATTTTGTTTTTTAATTGATATTTATTTACATTGTTTTTTAATGACTTGAGAAAATATATAAATAATTAGTTGAGTATGGAATCTGAGAATTGTATGAATCAAATCAGATCCAATGCATACATGGTCACATCCAATGGATGGAACCGACTCGATCCAATCATCCACTGGACTTGGATCGGATGTCCAATGTTAATCGGATGAGAAAATCCAACCAATGGATGATCGGATCGGATCGGATCCACCTAAATCCGTTAGATCTCAACCGATTAACACCTGGAGATGGTATAATGTATACGGGCCTTTCCTGCTACAGAATGGAAACTAGTTGGTGGTGTTGTTTAATTAGCCAATCCAAAACCATAAATTGAACAACACACAACCCAAAAATTCTTCAAATTCATAGATTTCCAATAACCGAACAATAGAATGAACAAATCTCAATCTGCTAAACTAGCTTCACCATCCCATCCTAGTAAAGGATAGCCAAAACAAACACCAAAAATTTATGAATCATATCTAACTCATATTTCTTTCACTTTCCTTTCGAAACCGCAATGTACAACATATACTACACCTTTCTTAAACTACATCTTCCAAACGGGCGACCCTGTGTCATCTTTTTACCTATATTCATAACCTTTCCACCTTTTTACACACAAACCCACCACAAAACAAGTTGCAAACCAAATGGGTAATAACTAAACATGCCCAATAACAATTCACATTGCTAAAAMGGAACCCATTGCAACGAAAAAAGGATAGTTGATAAAAGCTACGCAAAATTTGGAGGTAAGAAGTTCAACATTAACAGAGGGTTTGTTTGTACATGGGCTGAAAGCATCAAGAATAAGTAACTGACCCGGGGAAGATGGATTCATGCTTTCAAGAATCTCGTTAGGAATTGTTCTCATTTTTCTGCAATTCATCTCTTTGTTGAAGAAAGTTGTCAGCTACCACACGGGACAGATTTACACATGCCCGCATGCATATTATAACTCGAGAATCAAGAACCATTTGGTATACCTGGGTAGCTGTTTCCTATGCGGATAAGTATGCAAAACTATCCAAATGGCTGTCTATTGGCCTGTGACTCCTTTTTCTGGTCCGTTTTCCACATTACTATTCTCAGATTGGCTTGCAGATCCTTTCTCTTCAAGACGGATTTCATTCGTGTCATTTGTTCCAGCCACTGATTTTGCAGGTAATACTGCCTGGCTTAGAGTTGAACATAATGTGGCCAATACAATTTCTTTTGACTTGGGGCTTTTCCCTCCTAACCGACGCTTCTTTACCAGATCAGGTTCTTCCTTTGCACCCAAAAGTTTTCTTTTCAATCTAAGTTCTAAAGTTCCTTCATCATCTTCAGGTTTTTCCGACTGTTTCCTTGGTGGTGGTTTGTAGTCTTCGTCATCCTCATCATCTTCATAATCAACTAAGCCACCAGCCCTTTTGGACAAAGAAAACATGGATCAACAACATACAGTGTACAACACGTATCTGCATTAGGTTTAAAAATTTTATAATGTAAACGTCTTATGATTTTAGATATGTTGCATTTATTTTGGAATGGAAGGAATAAAAATTGAGTTTTATGGAGATCTGAAACCTCAACCTCATTAAAGTCATCATGTATTCCTTACATAATTCAGTTTAATGAAATTATGAAACCATCAAAATCTTTAATTCTTACTAGCATTTACAAACTTCTACAAAACCAAATTTGGATTTCCAAAAAGCATACAAGGTCAGTGACACAGTTTCGCAGCAGGGTTACACACTACTATAAAATTAATTCTATAGGATACCTAAAATGTAGAAGCGTCTCTCAAAAAATACCTTATAGGACTTAAGTTCATAAACCAAACCAAAAAGCGTCCTATCTAAAAGTGTTACAATAGGTTTATAGGACGCTTATAGGTGTTTTAACAAGTTTTTAGGACGCTTATAGAATAAAGTGTCGTATTAACTATTTTATAAGACATTATTTGAAAAAAAAGTGTCTTATAAAAAGGTGGGTTTATAGAACACTTCTCAAAAGTATAAAAATAGCTAATAGGACACTTTATTTTTAAAAGCCTCCTAAAAGAACTTGTTAAAACGCCTAAAAGCATCCTAAAAAACAAGTTAAAACGCCCAAAAACGTCCTATAAACCTATTGTAACGCTTTTAGATTGGACGCTTTATATTTGGTCCTATAAATCTAAGTTTAGTATTCTATTAGGACACTTAGACAATCTAGGTATCCTACAAAGCAATTTTTTAAATAAACATGAACAGAAAACCAAAAATGTTATCAAATGACCCATATTGGAAGTTCAATACGTGAGCAGGGAACATTTTCTTCCAACAACCTCAAAAGCTTGATAGAAACTAGAAGCGTCAAATTAAAGGAAATTACATACCTTGTTGATGGGCAGCTTGCATCAGATCCATTGGATAAACCGGGTTGTGGACGTATCCTTGTCGAACGAGGCCTCAATGCAGATGTGGAATCTTCTTCATCACTACTAACATACCAATTCCTTAGAAGCTAGCCAAATAAGGCATCCAGATACTAAACATTAAGATAATGTAACAACAAGGATACCTATCCCCGTTGAAATAATCCTCCTCTTCCTTCTCCAAAGCACGCTCGTCTACACGTCTTCTGGTGTCGAGGGGACCCGGGTCATTTCGGTTTGATGCATGCTCCTGGGCCTGCAGACCAGCTTTATATCACAACAAACTTCTAAAATGCAAAAGAATGGTTCAAAGTTTATATGGGCATACAGAAAAGAACCTGATCATATCTAACTTTGAGAGATTGAATGGAAGGCAAACTGTCAAATTTGACCAACTGATCCCAAAAGGTTTCAACCAAATACTTCAGCAGTATCTTCAAATTGTCCTACATGAATAACACTTTGTCATCAAACCACATGCTACAGTGCATACGCCATAACATAAAACATCCATGAAAAAAAATACCTTGCGGATATGCTCAAAGAGCTCCAAAATGGCAGAGTTCAACAAATTATAGCGACTTCCATTACGGATAAAAGCATCAATAATGGGTCTAAATACGTTGTTCTTTCCAATATAACTCATAAGATGTTCATCCTGTAAAACATCAACAAAGATCACCTTAGAGCCTGTTTGTTAGCAGCTTAATGAGCTTAATGGGACTCACAGCTTATTCTGTCAGCTATACATGACTTTTGGTAGTGGCTTGATGATAGAAAAAAAATGGCTTATTCAGTAAGCTTTCGGGGGGAGCTTTATGCAGAAAGCCAAGATCTTTCCAAAGTTGTCCCTCCCAATTAAAGACACGCTCCTTCCATCTATGAAAAAACCCTCCCAAAAGAAAGCCTTCCCAATCTATATAGACAGATTAATCCACACACAGACAACTTAGTCCATACAGAACTTGATGGAAAACCAACCAAACAGCCCCATAGACAAGTGCCAAAAAACTTACATACCCAATAAACCCAAAAACAAAGAACAGATTATGTAAATATATTCCAATGCTTCCATTTATTGGGCCTTCATTCGGAATAAAAAACTATATACCTGTTACGGCTTATTAGTTAATAAAATTTCAAAACCGGAAAATTTGTACTTACGTTATGTGAGATTAGAGTTCGAACGAAACGAACAGCTGCAACTACAAGATACTTTTCCTTTCTTCGAGTTAGATATAGAACTTTATCTACTACACCATTAAGCAAGAAGTTGCACCTGCAAACCAGACAGAAAATTTGCATTTCTATACATTCCAAATGGACTAGTTCAGTCTAAATTACAATAGAGGGATTACTTGAGTACTTTATTCTATAAGGATGGTGCAGAACGCAGAAGCATAGGAGATCACATATGTTCAGAAGTATTTCAGGCTTTGTATTGGTTTGAATCCCATGATTTCCATTCGAATTCTTGGATGTATGACCAGCCATGGCAGCATCATTTGGAGGGCATGATGACATTATAACATTGATTAGTTGATCCAAGTGCCTCTCATAGAAAATTTCAACAATGGCATCTCTCTGCAACAAAATCACATCAAAAGTGGGTTGAACTCAACTCAAGAAACAAATTAAGCGTTGCAGAAAGTCAGAAACTGCCACCTATTTCGTCAAAAGAATCAAAATATAATAAATTAGAACAGACACCATGTCAACCTTCAGATTTGTTAGACTAAATTTGTTATTGAAGATGTATGAAGATAACCTGTTTTTTGTTGCTTTGTTTTTAGACAATTATTAATGCACAAACCAACCCTTTATGCCTCCATTTTAAACTGTAAAATAGAAGTGTTCACATATCACGCACCCATCCTTTGCAACAAGAATGCAGCCGAACTTTTATACTCCAAGCACGCATGAAATGCAAACCATTTAAAACAACCACAATCAAAAGAAACAGAATTCACTCAAGAATGGGGGAAATTTTGGACGTTTATACAAATGACTAATCTTATGATAATAGTCATACCACCGTCCACCACACATAAGGCGACCCACATAAAGCAGTATTTACAATAATTGTTATACTGTCACAAATAGAGGACTCTTATAAGGCAATCTTTACGACAATTTTTACATCGTCACACATAAAGCATTGCTCATAAGTTTGTCCAATATGTACCCCACTTTTACCTTTTTCTGCAAAAGAAAGCAGTGAACTGAATCAGGATCTGATCTTGATTATTGTGGGACGACAACAGATGAGATTTTGAATTATAGATGGGTAGAAGTAGATAAACCAGATTTCAAATGAATTGAATCACGATCAACAGGTATAGATGCATTCACTATTTACTAGTGAAACTTGTGTGAGATGTCATGCGCTTGATCTTTGAACAACAGATCTACACTAGAGCTCGTCGACATTCAAAACATAGAATTCTTGGTGAGTTTGGCATTATAAACCACAAAAAATGGTAGTTATAACCATGTGTCCATTTAGACACCTAGCAACCAAGTGAAAACTTCGATCTTAATAGATCTCTAGCAACTTCAAATCAAGCACATTAGGGCCTGTTTGTTAGCAACTTAATGAGCTTAATGGGACTCACAACTTATTCAGTTAGCTTCTAGGAGTGAACTTTATATAGAAAGCCATGTTTTTTTTCCAAATTTGTCCCTCCCAACTTAAAAACACGCTCATTCCATCTATGGAAAACTCCTCTAAACAAAAACCTTCTCAACCATCATGACAAATAGTTATAGTAGTCTAACCTGTCCTCCAGAAGAAAAAGAATCCAGGAGACTTCGAATTATTTCGAGGAACTGGCAATGCATATCATCCCCAAAATCTGTAAGCATCCCTTTCACCTGTAACAAACCTACCACCATGTCATCTTCTCAATATACCTATATTAGGCTCAGTCACAGACAAAAAAAAATTAAGCATATTATATCCATATATGGTAAATACTCAAGCACACTCCTCACCCACAAAGTTACACAATCATTAAACATCAATTCAGCTAGGTTCATTTCATTTTTTTCAGTTCCGTTTTCCAGGTCCCAAAGATAGTACAATAATAATTTGAGCAACAGTTATTAGAATAAAACTTATGCGGACTTCCACTCACACCAATCGACTTATGCAGACTTCCATGAGCTTCCATGAGCATTACTGAACAAAGTGAAGCTAAGTAAATCAAACTCAAACACAAAACTTAAGGTCCGCATATACATTTTCTAAAATGTAGTCTTACTAATGACTTTATGCCTTCTGTTGATCCCTTAACCAAGTCTTTCCAACAAAAGGCATTAAAACAGCAGCAAGACTACATTTTAGAAAATGTACATGCCAACCTTAAGTTTTGTGTTTGAGTTTGATTTACTTAGCGGTTACTTTGTTCAGTAATGCTTATGGAAGCTCATGAAAGTTTGCATAAGTCAGATTGGTGTGTGTAAGTTTGCATAAGTTTTCTTCTAATAAGCGTTACTCATATTATTATTTCAAGGAACCGGCAATTAATATCATCCCCAAAATCCATAAGGTGTATTCACATTATTCACCAAAATTCATTACGGTATGGGTTTAAATTGCATGTACAAAGAACCCAGAAACAAATGTTCTTCATCATTGTGATCAAATACTTCTGAAAAAGTTCACATCTGCAATACTATTTAAACTAGCCATCCACAACATGATTTCATTCTCGCTCATCAGATAACGGACAATAACAGAGTCAAGATAATAACAATCAAACTACCATAGACGTAACGCTTTACATACCAGAAGTCCAAGTAATGCACCACCTTCCTGCCGATTAACATAAGAACGCAACATGGTTTGATCCTGGTTCACGGAAAAAATGAGGATGTCTGTCCTGCATCCATAAGATTCGTCTACCAAGTATTAATCCATGTGCCACTTGAAACGAATTAAACAAATTGAGATACAAATTGATTACCCAGTCAGAACAAGCTTCTTATCTTCACTCTGCAAAATATCTGTAATCACACCATATATGCCTTCATTCACTAGATCTCTACAATGATTAAAAAACCCATCCCCTCATTAGAAATTCAAGATTCGTACATGCTGTCAAGATTGAAGCAATATCAACTTCCATACCTGAATAGCCGGAGTTGCTGGACCATCTGCAAGCTCTTGCTTAGGCTACAAAACTCTTGCAAAAAAAATACCTACACATTGACATGCATATATATTTATCAAAAATAATAGAAATGCATTTGCTTTAGAATACTTCAATAATAGAATGAATCATTTACCAAATTTCTCTTGGAATCAGGAGACGTGTTAGGGGATTTTAATCTTGCAAACAACTCCTTAATAAAGGTGCTATCATCTTTTAATAAAGTGACAACCTGCCCAGGAAAGGCGTGTTAGATATAGAATAATAATCGAGAGTTAAATATGAATAGCGAGATGCAATTTTCTCACCATTCCATTATTTGAGTGAATCATAGAATTAAGGCTTGCAATTGTAGCCTCATCCAATACCCTAGGTAATACAACATCCTAAAAGCAGTAACATACATGAGAATTCCATGACAATAGTAGCAGCCAATCGAGCCGAGCAAGTAATGTTCTAACCTTCAGATAACCGATTCTGTACGTCTGATGTATCTTTGACAAGGCTAGGGGATCCTTAATTGGTATGGCCTACATAAATGAACGTTAAATTTATAAAATAGATCATTAGATGATTCAAAGAACATAATTAAAAATTTAACTACAAAGTTGAACATTTCTTTTCATACTTAACCAAGGGTCAATACCAAATATGCAAGATACAAACAAGGTAAGAATATACATACCTCCTTGAAGACAACATGTTCTTTAAGGAAGTTGCGATGATGGATGTGAGGTGTCTCCAAGTCATCTGCAGACCAACAGAAAACAGGGTGATCATGATTCCGCTGAAATTAGAAAATGCCACCTGGTGAGGGAATTTGTCATTCCTTGTCAAATATGATGGAATTCAATTCCAGTCCCTCTCAATTTTGTTAAAAGACATAAATACCCATGGATTATTATTAATATCACTATTATTTGCATTCCAATTCCAAAGCTACATTCTCGGAACCAAATAGAAAGTTCAAAGAAATGGAATTAAAACCAGATCCAATTCCATCCCACATCAATCATGCTCCAATTCCTTTGACAATTACCTTTATGTCCAAAAATATTCTATGAGCCAAACCCCACCTAAGTGAGCTATGATGCCTTTTTGAAAAGACGAAAAAAAGAATAAGACAAACTGAATACAACTGATGTTGGTCCAGCAGTCTGGTAAAGCTGTGTGCTGCGCACAAACTCCGTAAACTGATTCAAGATGCCAGGAGCAAATGTCTATTATGTGTGCATGTAGAGGCTAAAAGAGCTAAAAGGGTAAGAAAAAAATTTCTTGCAGTATAGGCAAAGGATCAGCTCAAAAGTGGCGTCAAAACAACTTACATTCGAGACATCCAATAACATCCATAATTAATTCATCACCAAATATTTTCTCAAAGATCTGAGGACTGTTGAGTAGAACTGAAAAAAAAGCAACATACAAAGTCATCAGTTTTCAAAGACCATATATGAAACTAGTTCTTGAAAAGTAATGATAACTAGGAAAGTTCGGGTATTAACTGATCCCTTTGACAATTTTGTATATCATATGAAGGCCATCCTTGTTTTCCAAATCTTCGCATGCTCTAAACAAATCCATCAACTTCCGGAAAAAGATTTGCTGTTCACATTATAGATTCAAGAAACTTTGTGAGTTCAATCACTCTTACAAGCTACAAAGATTCTAAATAATTGCCAAGCACAAACCATAAAATTAGTAAAATAAAGTTGTATCAAGCATCTTTGTAGCATTCTTCTCTTAATAATACAGCATACAAAAGAGTACTTATTTAGAAAACCTTACATTCCATCAAGGGAAGGAGGGAAGTTCATATGGGTGCAGAGGGAGTATTATGTACTACACTACTATGATAATGTTCTTCCTTGCTGCAATCCTTCTATGAAGATCTTAAGTTCGGCTTTGATTGTTGATGGAATACGACCTTTAATGTGATAGCATGGAACATTTGGGTTTAGACACTAACTTATTGGTGCATTTACTTTTATAATCTAACGGAAGGATATAGTATATATCAAAGTATATATAGACATCATTATATTTTTATGTATTACACCGGTGTCACGAGGGCTACAAAATTCCCACAGTAACAGTAGACATGTATATCTTCTTAGACCTATTAATTTGAAGGAGAATAGAAGTAACATACATCATGGAGTATGAGCTCTGTTACACACAACTGATCCGTAACACTACTGTCAACCACAACCTGCAAAACCAAAATCATTGAACACCAGGTCTAAAAAATATAGGAAAAACACCAAGTTATAAAAAAAAATTAAAAAAGTAAAATATCAATGGAAATATGTGCTAAAAGTATCTCGCCCCTAGAACAGACATGATTTGAAAATACTGACACACAAACAGACTTGCATTTTATGTCTGAACCTTAAGTATTGAAGGAAGTGTTGATAGCTCTACTGCCGGCAACTCCCTCAACTCATTGTTAGCCCCATGATATGATGTCTCATCTGCAGAAATAGCATGTACAAAATCAGCTTACATGCCATCATGAAGGCCGCAATCATCGATTCAAGATGATCTTTGAACAATGCAAGCAAAAAAATATCAAGTTAGCATAGAGAAATCAACTTTGAGAAAAAAAATTAGGGAGTTGCTTATTCCAGCATTGACCTTTTGGCAAGCATAGAATAAATATGAGATGAATAGGATTTTATTGAGAATTAACATGATTAAATCTTTTGAATACCAAGTTTTCTCCCATATAGATATAATTCTTACCAAAAACCCAAAATTAGATTCTACACCTTGAATATCAGAAAAAAAGAAATTAGATGAGAACTCTCTAACAGAAGGTAACCGCAATATAGAGAAAGCAAGCATGTCCCTAGAAAAAACAGGCATACTTTGAACACAACAAATCAACTTTAAAGGTGGTGCTGCCAGTTCCACCTGCCTAATAGCTTCTAATGGTAATTTGGAACGGCTTAAATAAGAAAATAAACAAACAAGAACCAATTTCAAAGTATATTGATGATTGGAGACTGAAAAATGCTGATCACAGTGTCTCCCAGAGAAATAGAATCGATATACATACAGGAAAAAAATCTAAAAGGTTCTGAAATCATTTATCTACAAATGGTTTTCGTTTTGGTTTCAAATTGCACCAATCACTTTAGATATTTGATTCTTTTCTTTGTTGTTCTCTTGTTATAGACAAACATTTACAATTATACTTACGATTAATGTTGATCTTAGCTGGCAGCTGGTTTCCATTCAGACCAGTGTTGTGGTGCTAGGGAACAACAATAACGAGATAACAATAGTACCCTGGCAAACAGGCTGATCTTGAATTTCATGGCGACAATAAGAGCACTTAAAAACTAAGGTCATGTGTTCAGAAGTTCCACAGTTGATTTTTGTTATAAATAACATTGATGAGGCGCAGCAATAGGTGCAAGGATTGAATACAAATGAAGGCTAAACATTTGCTACGAATAAGCAAGCTGTCAGAAGATAGGAATATCCGAAGATAAATATTAAAGACAACCAATTTCACATGGAGCAATAATAGAAAAACTGAACAAAAATTAAAGGAAGAATAAAGATAGAAAAAATCACACTTGCTAAACCAATCAATGATGAAGATGATATCTACAATACATATAAAATAAAACCACAAATGCTTACTGCGAAGAGTATCAAAATGCAGATTGCGCTGGATATTGCAAATATGGTCCCTGGAAAAATATAATGTAAATAATACACTTACCATATGCATAATAAAAGTACTTGCAAGGAAAAGAAATACATGACATATATTTACTGGGTACCATATGTACGAACACCCTGTAGTCTCTTGAAAGCTAAGAGCTAGGTCACTTGAATACTCTGAATCCCTCCATGAAATTATTGTATCTGAATAACAAATGAAGATAATCACAAAAAGAGAACTATAAAACAATTAAACGTATTGGCTAACAAATACAAGAGCCACGTTAGGTGAACAGTGTATAACCAGGGACAAGACAATAAAGGAATCATGAGAAAATAGAATACATAATGAAATTAATACCTTCTTGCTTCCGATATATATCGTCGGAGCTAATACGGTGCACAAGCAGTGTTTCATTGTCTTCTTCATCAATGACGAACAAGCTCAACTCTTCAGACGACCTCTGTTATACAGATTGAGATTGAGAATCAAAGAATGTCTAACTAGCCCTCACCAGTTACAAAGTATCATGAGTATTTCACAATATAATTCTTTTACAAAAGCCATATGATAAAGATGTGGACCTCCAAATAGTCAACAGTGACATGACCAGTCCCTTGATCATCCCATTTTCCATCGTCATTGAGTCGATATACCTTGACACGCTATCATTTATAAAATTTAACAGTCAGGATGAAGCCATGTCAAATACATTTTATATTATTGATAAGAACAGGACACAAATCTAAAGAAATAACAATAAAAGCAAAACAACATCTATCTCAAACTAGTTGATCAATTAAGTAACAAAGCAATCAGGAATAACAGGTCAATAACATTATTAAGAATTAAAAAAATATAATGGAGGCTGACACTATTCATACTAGTTTGGCTAACTTCTAAGATCAAGCTAGGTAAGCTACTTAAAGCCAACACCAGACTCAAATGCAGTATGAAATTTAGCATAAATAGAAGGGGAGGATTCACAAAATAGGCACATATTAGCACATGCCTGCTTAGACGATGCATACCACTTTGGGATTGATGCGCATATTCTTGATTACTTGCCTAAATTACACTGTTTCACCTTCTTATGTACTTTACAACAAAGCATGTTGCTTGCTGCTTCTACCTCTAGCACTTCTCCTACCAAACAGACACATAGCACCGCTGAGTTTATAACCATTGTTTACACTTGACCTCTTGTACAATTAGTTAAAGTGCACATAAACCAAATAGAAACAGAATCTTGGTAAATAATGAGAATGATACAAAACCAAACCCATCAACCATAAATTGGCACCTTGGTCTTGATAAGAAAACATGCGACTGAATTGCACAAAAGGACCTAACGAAAGACAACCCTCATAAAAGAAAATTTTAACTCTAGCATTCAGAACAAATAGATTAATGCAGCCCAACTTCATTTGGAGAAATGTAGATGATTTGATATAAGTTGCTATGTCAACTTAGATATAGATGATGTGAATTCATCCTCCGTGGACTAGTTAAGTTTTTCGTTAATTGGAACCCAGGGAGGTAGTCAATTTGCACTTGAAACCAGAGTTTAGTTTCTATTATTCTTTCTTCTTATTCCTCGAAGGAATTGGGATCTTTTGCAATGTCAGATTTCAAGTCTAAGCTCTGTGTTTTTCTAACTATTATTCTTGAGATATTGCAAATAGTGTAGTGCCATTTAACAGGTCCAAAGTATAATTTGTATTTTCATTTGTATTTGGGGATAAATTGATCAGCCCACGAATCCTATCCCCAATACACATTAAAATATAAATTACACTTCAAAACCTATTAAATGCCACTCATTTTACATCTCAAGAAAAATAGCTACAAAAACATACTGACCTTAAAACTTAAATCTAACCACCCCAGTTTCCAATTAAGGAAAACCTTAACTCAGAACCTATTCACATCATCTATAACTAAGTTGAGCATGTCGATTGTGTAATATCGCCTACATTAATCTAAAAAACACACTGTGATCAGCTTAAAGATCGAAAGCACATGAACTTAAAATAACTCCAAAACAGAACAATGGTGTCAACACATAATCAAGAATAACGCAAGAACGATTAAGCAACTAACGTACCTGCATCGAATTGTTGTTGGAAGTAGCCAACTTCTCCGGTGCACCCATCACAACTTAGTTCCCCCGTTTTCTTCTTTATTAACCAAACTTCGCCAAAAGGTCACACCAAGATAATTCTTGCTGGATTGCGACCGAAGTTAGGGTTTTCACGGTAAGAATTCAAGAAAGGGATAAGGAGGGAGAAGAATGGAATGGAGAGCAACAGAAGCATGCAATTAACGCTAATAAATCAATTATGAAGAAACCCTAAAAACGATATTTGGCATAGCAGTAAAGCCTCTTTCTCTCTCAAAAGCTTGAAAGTTCTCCGTGAGAACCCCGACTCTGCTTGCTGAAGATAATAATGGTAAAATTAATTGCAGGTATTTACATAAATAACCTCAAGGTTTAGTCTAATTACATTTTTAATCAAAAATATTGATTTACTGTCAACCGTTAAAGGGTATTTAGTGAGATTTACCATATCAAAACAGATCGAGTAAGGGGTTATTTGTCTAGCTCTTAATAGTTTCATTAAAAAGTAGTTTCTAAATTTTTAAGAGATTAATCTTGTTTGGCAAAAAAAACTCTCTTAATGGTTATAAAACCCTCTAAAAGTTTTGTATCATGAGTCTTTCTTAACCATTCAACACCCTTATTTCATTATAAATAATTACCAAACAATTATATTTCATTTTGCACTATATCATGAGAGTTTCTTAATTATTCTATATCAAACCAATTAGTAACTGACAAACAACCCCTAAGTCCAATTTAAGAGGGTACTCGATCCTGTATGGAAGACAAAATATCAATGAACATTTACCTATCATATATTGTAAGAATCAATATTGTTCAAAAAGTATAACAAAGCAGTCTACCATGTTAAAATATTAACGTAAAAAGTCGCATATTCATTAGAATACGATTAGCCTCAACTATGTTCCTTTCGTAGATCTCTGAGTTCTTTTTTACTGTTACTTGATTATGAAATACAACTGATATCCAAATGTCTTTAAAATGAATATGTGAACTCTTTCTTACACATTCTCACATAAGGCATGTTACCCCTCTTTGCATATGTCATCATTTATTTTGAGCAACAATTGAACCAGCAACGCTCAACTTACCGTTGATCATATGCTGAAAACATAATAGAACGGGACATAACTTGATGACCAATAATAAGGTACGCGAATGAAAGAATTATGCAAGATCTTAAAGTTTTAATCTGATATGAAACATAAAAGGGGTATTTGTGTCCATGTCATGTCAAAATTTAGTGTCACGTTAAACTAAAAACAACAATTTTTTGTCACCTCGCGTACTAAACACGACACTAATAAGTTCATCTTTAAATTTGTTTTATGTTGCATGTTTCTCTTGTAACGGAAAAAGAGTTACCATGTCTTTATGAGATTGGAGTGCTTATTCATTCTCTTTTTGCCACTCAACCCACAAACAACATATGAATGGGTAAAAAACTAGATACATCAACAACGAACGTAGTAGATAGAAACGTTACCACCCAAAATGCAAAAACGATTTAAATTGCATGTCTTTATTCACATACATTTTTGCTGACTTAGAAGGGCCATTTACGAACACAAATCTTGATAAACAACATTGTGGGTCAAAGGATGTTAGTAAACAACATTATTCTTATCGGGTTAGTACCACTACCCAATATCAAGCAAAGGGCATTTCCTTCATATGTTGAAATATGTCCAAATGTAAAGCGATATAACTACATTCCAGGGTTATTTGGTTCGTTTCCCATTAACTCCTATATGGATACAACTGTCTAAGGGGCTGTTTGGTTGCGGTTTAATGGGTTGTATAAACCATATGGCTTATTTGCACAATCATATCTAATTGTTCGGTGTGGGCTTATTCGGTCAGCCCATGGCTAAATTGCTCAGCTACAAAACCTGCATTATTTGTATTCAGCCATTAAATTCCCCCAACCACCCTTCCCTCAACAATCCATCATCACTCCTCCCTCAACAATCCATCATCACTCCTCCCTCAACACTCCATTGATTTTGCCTCTCACCATCCATCATCACTCCTCCCTCAACACTCCATTGATTTTGCCTCTCACCATCCATCACAGGTTCTTGATTTATTTGTGTTTCCAACATGAAGGTCACGTCCTGACGAAGGAGGTTTAATGTCCGACATAGGAGGTTTTTGATTCCCCTTGATTTCTTTATGTTTCTGGTAGTGAAAGGCGGAGGAGGATGTTGATTTCATCTTCACGAATTTGCTCTTCGACGAAGAAAAACCACCGTACATCAACTCACCTTCCTTCAACTCCAACTTTTGTCGAGATATGCCGCTACTAAATTTCTCCAAACCACCGCTTTTTCACACACTTCATTCTTCATCCATTTCTGAACCAAGCATCCTCGTCGTTCATCAAAATCATCTCAAAAACAACCAGCCAACCAGGTCCTCCAAATTTCGTTTGTTTCATTTTCCTACAAACAGTCAATTGTTCATCATCTTGTTCTTCTAGGTTGTCGCTTTTTGTGGAGCTCAACAGGAGAGTTGCTAGTGGTAGAGTGATGGTGTTCTTCCACCTAGCAGGTTCAAGAAAGCTGGTGGTGTTTACTGAATGGAAAGAGGAACTTTATGGTGATAGTAGTGTTTTGGTGTGATGTAAGGGGTATGGATCTTTTGTTTAAAATATATAAAAGTAAAATATAGACCAAGAGTAAAATGATCATTTATGACATTCACACTGTTTATTCACAACTTATCTATTAACATACAGACAACTCTATCCATATAAATCCTAACAAAAAAACAATCTTTAAGTAGATTAATCTATCTGTGTAAATTAAAAAGGTTTTTGTTTGAGAATTATTTTAGATGAAAAAAACACGTTTTTTAAACTGGGTAAGGCAAGTTTGGAAAATTTTGCCTTCCTACATAAAAAACCCTCTTAGAAGCTTATTGAACAACTTTTTATATCATTAAGCCACCACCAAACATTAGGAACATTATACTGCTAACAAACATACCCTTTGTCTTTTTACACCATAGATAGCATAATGAAACAACTACTTAATGAAATAAGGTCTTTGCTTAATCTTGAAACATTGCAATAAATGATGTCAAGGAATAATTTCTTACTCAAACACAAAATGAGAACCACAATGTCATAGAATCTTAACTAGATTCAAAGGTCACATGGGAATATAGGAGTTCTAATTGATTGCAAAAATCCAGATAGAAAGATCAAAACCAAACCCTAAAACATCTATTCTTCTGCAGCAGATTCACCACTCTGGTTGTTGTGCTTCCTTGCATACCTCTGGTTCCTCAAGAACTTAGGATCCATCTGCATTACAAACATTTTTTCAATCAAATAACACCATAACTGCCACTCTCCGAATAGAAAAGAGAACAAAAACCATTGAATCTGTAACAACTACTTCTTTAGGTTTGGTATTAATCATATTTAAGAAAAGGATAACATGATTCACCCATTAGCAGATCAGAGCAAATGTCAATTAGAAGTTAATTATGGGCCATTATAACCATATTTAAGGGAAGCCAAAATCATGATTCAAGGCTATGAGAAAAGGGAAACAGAAAGCAAAAGGCACAGGAAAGAAAAAAATGAAATACTAAGAGGCCGTTTACCACGTGCTTACCAGGTAAGCACTTACTGGCAAGAGAAATTACCCTCGCTACCTTGTCATATAAGGTTCTTGGTCATCAAAATGAATTGTTGATCAACATCTACCGGTAAGTGCTTACCAGGTTAGAGTTTCTTGGTCCTTGGCACATTGGTAAGTGCTTAACTGCTAAGCATTTAGTAAACGGCCCCTAAATTTATAATCTTGTTTAGTTTTAAAATTACTAACTTCCAGAAATACTACTTCACTTGGTTCACAATCTCTCTTTGACTCAATCCATTACTGCTACATCCCATAAACTGTGTCCAAATTCAGACTGTTCAATGAGTTGCTTCAATTTAGCAATAAATGTTTCCTTTGGGTAGCAGATATCGACAACTACGTAACGGATAACATATAACTTATCATCTGGAAGTAACAGTATGATAATTTAAAGTAAAAAAATGGAGTTTTGATTCCAACAAAGCAGTAGTAATTTGACTACTATAACACGATTAAAACAAAAAACTATCTACAGAAAACTATCATAATGTCGGTTTCGCTGAAAGCGTCGTTTAGAAATCCATCGATTGCACATAACACCTATTAACGGCCAACAACGGCAACCCTAACTTACTGATCCACGGATCTTCCACTCATAAAATCAAGCAAATCGAAAGAAAAAAAAACTTACCCCCTTGGTGGAAGTGTGTCTATGCTTCCTTGGCTTCTTGATGCCGTTCCTATGAGCCTTGTGTGACTGGTTATGCGCCGTATGATTCTTCGACTTGGCCATTTCACTCCTACAACGTTATCAACAAAACTTAGCAAATCAAAACACAAACAAACACGATGCAACACATATACGGATCTCAGTAAGCTGCAAAGAAACTACTAGATAGAGAAAAGAGGATAGAGAGAGAAACCTGTTTAGCTGCTACTCCAACTCCAGTGAGATTAGGGTTTTCGACTGAAGAGGAGAAGTAGGGTATTCGTCTCTTTTAATATGAACTATGAAGTATGAACCCATATTTGTTTATTGGATTTGGACTCCTCTTATGGGCTGGGCTGGGCTGCACTCGGCCCATGACCTCTCAAAAAGAAAAAGAAAACATTATTTTTATATTTTTAGTTAGAAATTTGGATTTTTTTTATTAACTTGGATATCCAACCTGTTATGCGAACCGACTAATCCCAGAACGACCACCTGCTTTGCAGATAGCCCGAAGTCACCGCATTTGAACCTCCATGGCCACAAGGGGATTTTTATTCTTCCTTGGATTTGAACCTGAGATCTCCTACTACTTTTGACCTTTGAAGCCAAGCTCAAACTAATCAGGTACCACCCTTATGGTTAAATTTGGGTTTTATTATCTCTGAATTGTAATTTTTTGTTATTATCATTCACAATTTATTGTTGTTTTGATTTACACTTCTTTACTGTTTTAATCTCTTGTACTTAAAAGGTAGAAATTAGTCCAGGGATGAAAAATAACAATAAATTGCAAACTATAAGGATGAAATCGTAACTTCTAAACCACATGGATGAAAATCGAAATTATTAACAAACCATAGCAACAAAAATCATAATTTACTCTTTACACTTTTGTCATCTCATAAGTTGTTTTTTCTTTAATAACTTCATTCTCGTAAAATCACGTTTGTAAGGTTGGATTCCGATAAGAGCTTCATGCACATTCAACTGCCTTTGTTTACCTATAATTTTATTATCATGACCGGAAATTTAACAAATTTTGTACATGTGAAAGTGGTTGAATGTATATAAAAGTTCGTGAAAGTTACTGAAAGTGAAGATAAAGGCAGTTGAAGATAGATGAGGTTGGATTAAAAACCAAACTCTTTCAAATGTTCAAAAGTTAACTGTTAATCTTCATTTTGCAACTATGATTAATTGTATTGAAGTAATAAACATGGAATTTAAACGTTTATCCGTGTAAACGCTTACAAGTCATATTATCTGAATACGACAAGTACCAAAAATCTTACTCGATAAGAGCGAAGACACAAGGACCGAGAGTCTTTCCCGATAAGTGTGGTCGAAGACTCTTATTATGGTTAGTGTTTACCGGGTAAAATGTTGCATACGATGCAGTTTCGATGAACTAAAATCTTACCCGATAAGTAAGCGATAGTGTTAAATTTTACCAGTAGCACTTACCAGGTAAGTGTTTAGGTAAACGGCCCCTTAGTGAGGTTTAATCATGCATTTGATTGACGATAACTGAAATGGAATCAGGACTTGAATTACAAATTCTCAACGTGAATCAGTACTTGGTTCTTACCGTTTTATTATTAGTAAAATACAATACCAAACGTGTATACTTTGCATAAAATTGTAAAAGCTTTTGTGATGAACTAATGTAATTGAGGTTAGTAAAAGCATATCCAACAACTATGCAATAACTTTTCTATAATAAAATCAAAAGTCAAAATCTCTAGAAAAATTGTATTCAACTCCAACACGTACATAATTTTATCAATTTCAACATTAAATATACTTATGAACTTCAGACAACTCTCAAGCAGTTCCATTCCCTCTTACTGTATTTCAGGATCAACCCAACCCGGTCAAGTATGATACTTATGAACCACGTTTTGCAGTACATATTAATAAGGATGAATACAAACTGAGAACAATACCATTTTACGTGAATACAAGAACACTTGAAACAGACAACCATCATATATATAAAGATAAATAAACCAGAACCGAGCCAAATGGACCAAAAACACACTACTTCTCGTTCTTAACAAAATAGTGTCGCGCATAAAGGGATTTCGACTAGAAAGAAGACAAGTAGACAACTATAAAAAGGTATAGAAGCCAAGCATGGCCCGAAAAGCCCAGTTTTTAGGTGAAAGCCCAAACCGATCCAAGGCCCAAAAAGCCCGGTCAAACTAACACGTTATGTAGATGATGTTGATAGGATTACAAATCTAAAAACCAACATTTTATCGGTATATCTATGATTAAAGTACACAAAATGCGAAGGCTAAAAGCGAACTTCTAGGCCGAATGTTTCACGGATGGTTTTCTAAACTTCAACGATGAACCATTCCCGTTGAAACCATCATGCCATCTTTCTCATAAAAATATAGACGGGCTGAAAAAACGTACCTACGCATTTACAAAGCAACAGTTAAAACACAAACACGAACACCCATGGGCCGTCGTCATACACGTCTTCTATTTTTCCATGTCGGTTGCGGGGTCAAGGCTCCCGTCATACTCATGCTGCAAGAGTAAAAAAAACAAAACCCGAACAAAAAGCATCAAGATCAATACTAGTAAATAATGCAATTGAGGAAGGATGTGTTTTGGTACGGGACAGACAGGACATGACTTGACTTGACTGGACGGAAGAGAGTAGGGTAAGCGGGTGAAAGAATTATACAGGTGTTTTAGGGTTTTAATTTGACAAAGGGTAGTTTAGTAAATTATCAATTTTGTCCTATCTCCCATAAAAAATGCATTTTTCTCCCACTCAACCATGTCTCAGTCTAATGTTGTGCCAAACGTGGGACAACAAGCTTCCGTTCTATCATGTCCTATACTATCCCACGTACCAAACACACCTTAAATGTGTATAAGCGTCGATAACTATATATACCGATGCTTGTAAGTGTTCTTGCTTCATTTTCCGGTATTCTTCTTGAGCTCTTTTTGATCGGAACATGGCTTGCACCCGAACAACAGATCTCTCTACGCGCTCTTCAGCTTGTTTCCGGCTGGCACGGAAGAACCCTTCCATGCCATTGTTTTCTTGATTCTCGTCTTTCTCAACATTGTTAGGATCAACTTGAAGACCTCGGAAGCCTCTTCGCTTCAAACGCCAACGAAGAATTGCTTTCTCGAGCACTCCTACAGACCATACTATCTTAGTATATTGCCTTCGAACTTGGTGACCTCGGAAAATCGCCTGTGTTGAATAAATATACAAATACGTTACCAAGCGAGTCAAATAAACTACACATAAAATTATTACCGCGAAACAAACTGAACTCTCTATCTACTCCTTGCAGCTCTGTGAGAATACGTCGAACCCATCAAGTTACCCTCCAAAAGAGCCCTTGAAGAGAGAAGGAGGTTCCAAAAGTCTAGCCGATGTGGGACTCTAACCCACCCCCTCCAACAGAGGCTAGACGGGCACAAATGTCCCATAGAGTGCAATGGGTATCCAGACAAAACCGGACAAGACAGTTGTTCAGCATTTGGTAAGACAGAACTAGACAAGACATAACATATAATATAGACAGTTGTTCAGCCTTTCCTATACTGTTCTTTATTATCAATAATATAATAAATTACATAAATTAATCAAAATATAGAAACCATATAAAAATTATGTTTTGAGGACTGTGTAAATGAAAGTTTATAGAGCATAAAATACGAGAAATAAAATTTAAAAATGGAATAAAATATAAAGAGGGAGGCGTTTTTGATGTTTTAGAAGAGAATTATTATTTATTTTGAGGTTATATCGGTAAAATATGGACCATAAAAAATAGTGAAACAATAGTCCTGCCAAACGTGAAACAATAGTCCATCTTTTGTTCTGTCTTGTCCAGTGTACCAAACGCACCCATAATGTCGAGTCCCTGACATAGCTGTCCGGGATGGTTGACCTTGGGTTTGATATGATATAAGAATATGTGGAACCCCATCGGAACTCTCCAAAGGAGCTTTTTAGAATGGGGGTTCCAATATATATTCAGAAGAAAGTGTTCAAATCTAGCCAATGAGGGACTCTAACAAAGTCTACATTTCAATATTCATTATGACTAAAACTGACACGCCCTCACGGAATCACATTCAAATGAATTTATCAAACAGGAATGTAAAAACGGGTTACGAAGAGAGATCTCACTTGAATTTTGATGACTTGACGACGCTTATTCAAGAAATCTTTTCTTATCTTCCAAGTACGAAACCTATGTTGTATACGTGCAGCAGCTGCCATTTGTTTTTTCGTTTCATGGTTCCGAAAGGCATGCTGAATCCTCATGGCTGCTATGATACTCCGTGCTTCGTCTTCTGTACTCGAAGATTCAACTTCTTTCGTTCGAAGTTTAAAAGACTGCTCCCTAAATGCAGCCTGTATACGAGCTGCAGCATCAGCAGCTGTTCGATAAGCAGCCAGGGTATCCTTCAGATATTGCTCATCCTCGTTGATTTGTGCCGATGGGGTGTTCAAGGCAAAATCGTCATTGGTCGGGAACGTACTCTGCAATGAGCCACTAACATTTCCTGCTAATGTCATGGCCTCAAAATGTGCCACAAGTGACTTCTCAGCAAGATAAGCAGCCAATCCTTCATAACCACTCTTGGATGCAAGATCTGCAGGCGTGCATCCATTCGTGTTTTCTGAAGTGGGGTCAGTCACCAGATTTGGGTTGGCCCCTGCAGAGAGAAGAGATGCAACCATCCTTTGCCTGAACGTAAAAAAAGAATTCGATGAATAAATAACATAATGCAAATTCCAAGTCCAACAAAAACCAACTTTGGCCCATTGATACATTTTCTATTTACATTGACTATATGAAACAAACGACCAACTTTGGCCACCATCCAACGTATAAAATGCAGGTTTTATATCTAATATAATTGGGTAAATTGCATGAAAATGCAACATACTTCGGTGCGATTCCTATTCCTATTTTCTGTAACGTACTTCTCAACCTTCATTTTGGTACCTCAGATGAGATATCTCGGACATTTAGATCAAAGTACGTTACCCGAAGTATGCAATTATCATATGTAAATAGGTACCTCGTATGAAGGACCCAAATGAAGGTTTTGAAAGTAATGGGTTGTTTGGTTGGTTTTCCATCAAGTCCTATATGGATAAAGACAAAGCTATCTGTGTGGATTAATCTGTTTGTATAGATTGATTTTTTTTTGTTTGTGAGGGTTTTTCCATAGATGGAAGAAATGTGTTTTTTAGTTGGGAGGGGCAAGTTTGGAAAAAAAAACTTGGCTTTTGTGCATAAAGCTCCCCCTAGAATCTTACTAGATAAGTCATTTTCTATATCATTAAGCCACTACCAAACAATCATGTATAGCTGACTGAATAAGTTGTGAGTCTCATTAAGCTCGTTAAGCTACTAACAAACAAACCCTAAGTTATACAAAATAGGAATCAGACCAAAGTAGTTGCATTTTCATGCAATTTACCGTATATAATTCTACTTGTTGGAACAAAGAAATGTACCTCCCATAGTGTGCAGCCCAATGGAGAGCCGTCCATCCAGATTTGTCACGAAAATCCAACGACAGGCCAGACCATGAATACGGGTAAATAGCCCAATTATAGTCCAGGATTGCACACAAATGTATTACTCCTTGACCTTGGTCATCACGATCTGGGATCTTACCACCCTCTAAAACTTTCTCCAAGAGCCATTCAAGTAATCTGTTCTGCAACGTGAGCTCCATTAAGCTATTTTTTGCTCGTTGAAAAGATATTCTTTTTTCTGTAATTGAATTTACCAAATAATCCCAACTATCAACAATATGACGCGATTTCTGGACGAACATTATTGCTTCTTTTTGGGTCTTTTGTGGTACTTTACTAGATAAGATAGTAAGGCTCTTCGATGAAGAGAAAAGCAAATGAGATAGTCTCATCTTAATTTGTAGTTCTTGCCAATCCGGCTTCTCGTCTAAAGAATCCATCAAGCTGGTCGTAGGAGGCAACTGAAACTCGAATGCCATGAGTTGACTGATGGGTTTGTGGCCATCAGAACTGATGAAAAGATTGACGATTCCCGGACTTTGTGGAGTAATCATGCAACGAAATACTCCGGATTGGACGATTTCTGCCGGAACACAAGCATCCCCACAGACACAAAATAGATTTGAGTTCAGTAGGTGCAGATACTTTTCTTGGAAAACTCCGACCACTAAGATCTGCAGAAAGGATACTAGATGTCAATAGGGTCAAATTTCAGGAGAAAACTGCAAAAAAATGAAAAACTGAGGAACACTCTGGTAACCATTCATCTGGACGGTATGCACATGTGCATAGAAGTAATCTGTAAGCAATTTATTCGGTATGAACCAAGAAAGAACTTCATTTACTTGTATGCGCATGTGCATATTGTCCAGATGAACGGTTACCAGGATGTTCCTCAGTTTTTCATCTTTTTGAGGGTTTTCCCCTGAACCTCCCTCGATGTCAATATATCATAAAAATGCAGCATAATTACATTGCAACAAACATAAGGACAAAAAAACAACACCTTTGTTTCTTCGCTTGATAGAGCCCATGCAGGCGAGACTTCAGTTATGCTGAAAATTTGTTCATTGGAATGAGATTCATGGCGATCACCACTTAGAATTCCGAGCGATTCTTGACCGATTAGCAAGGGTTCGGGAGTCAGAAGTGGATCATCTATTGCTCCAGGAGAATCTGTTATAATGTAGTTCATCCATCTTCTGAAACTATCTTGTGATGGCAACCCCTCCTTACCCATCATGTCTAAAACACCAGTGGCAACATTTGCAACTCGGGCATCCTCCATTCCCACCTTCAGAAGGTCAATGTTGTTGCCAACGGAATTACCTTCATGACAAAATGTTGCCAATGGATTTTCCATAGCTAATTTGTGCCCCAATGAGGAGTTACTCTGTAAAGATGTACCATCGTGACACAGTTAAGAATCTACAAAATATCTCGGAAATGAAGAAGTTTTACAAAATATTGAAGTTAAAAATTAAAAGATCAAAATTTAAAATCTCGTTGACAGTGATAACAAAAAAAGTAAAACAAGATGGTGAAAAAAATTAATAATAAGCCATCTTATTTTTCTAATAACATCTGTCACAAGAGTATCAACACATCCAAGAGTTCTACAATTAATGTTACAATTGGGGAGTTTTAAAATGCTAAAGATAAAAGTCAAGTGATTTGGCATAACGTCAAATACAGACTCTTTTTTGAGGTGAAAGAAATGATATATGAAAATGATGCTCCCTCAATCTCAAAAAAATGTTCAACTTCAGACATAGTTTTATAAAGTGGGAATCTTGTGGACCAAAATTAACACTATCAAGTCCCGTTTGGTTTGCAGAATTGGATTGGATTTGGAGGGATTTTAAATCTAAATTACATTCTAATCCCATGTTTGGTTTGAAGGATTTCCTGGATTTGAAATCCCACAAACATATGATTTTGAAATCCCACAGGGGTAGTTGGTATTTCACAGGATTTCGTAGGATCTGTATATAATAATGTTCTAAAATATGTTAAAAACATTTATTTTGTAACAATCAATTAATAAAAAGGTATTTTAATTATTTTTATAATTATTTATAATTTGTTTTTATAAATAATGCAATTCAATTCCATTCCAAATCCTACATTCAAACACACCAAATCCTTCCACGAAATCCAAATCCCTCAAAACCATTCCATCAAACCAAATACCCTCTTAGTATTTTGTAAGGATTACAAATGGGCAAAAGAGGTCATTGGTATTGAAATTTTTCCAAGAAAGGATGCAAGGAGTACCTAAAAAGAGAGGGGGAACCAAAAAAACAACAATACAAGAAGGGAAAAGTAGTGAAACTTACATCATCTATTGTCCCGTTTAATCCATATTGGTTAGGATGATCAAAGAGTGCATTTCCTGCAAAGAATAAATTGCCACATGTAAATAACGGAATGATCCTTTATCATCAAGAAACATTCAAGTGTTCCATGGATTATCAAGAACTCCCATCTCTATTGCAACTAAACCAAGTTCTCTACCTCCTTCAGATGTAAGCAGCTTGTTGGAATCATTTGGAATCACAAGCTCATCCCATTCAAGTGTGTTGATCTCATGAATTCTCATCTTATGATTTATTACGGTCTCATTAGGCTCTGTCGAATCACCAAAAACAGAGAAACTTTAGAACATTTAACCTCTATTGTCAAGAACTTCTTCACATTTGATGACTATATTTATATTTTCTTTCATCTCATAAGAACTATTCTCCGTCCCATGAAGATTGCAGCATTGACCACACACATGGTCTTACGAAAAGCGTATTAACAATCAGTCAAATATCAAAAAATACCCTTCCATGATGACAAAATAGGGAGAAATCTTAGGGGGGGTTTGGTTGGCAGAATGTTTTTCGAAGGAATTGAATCTGTCAAAGGAACTGGAATGGAATCTTATCAGGTTTGACCAAGTGTTTGGTTGGCAAGAATTGGAATGTAATCTGTCAAATGCATTGGAATAAGTCTGTTTGGTTTACAGAGAAATTGGAACGAAATGATGAAAATGACCAAAATACCCTTTCTTTGGAATTTGTATTTTTTATTCTTTTTTTGAAACTATAAATATAATAATTTAAAAAAATTGGTTTAATGGGGTAGTTTTGTCATCTTAAGAAAATTGGTTGGAATGGAATTCAATTTCTTTCCCCACTATGATGGAATGATGAAATCCATGGTTGGTGGAAACCATGGAATTCAATTCCATTCCATAGGTAAACCAAACGTTAGAATGAAATTTGATCCTACGGACTTGACCATTACAATTCCATTAGATTCTTGCGAATCAAACGCCCCCTTATAGACCAAGATAAATACCATCAATCATTTCAAATGATGGCGATGGTAAAATAGGTAATTTTAACTTCAAAACATTCCCAAAATTGTGTTGCAATTCACACTGAACATCAAGAAACACAGGCATGGTACAAACTATTGTAAAAAGCATGTAGCAAGAACTGCAATCGACTCTAACTGCAATGAGGTTTTCTGTATGGTATATAAAGATTTCTTGATATCACACAAAATAAACTTACACACCGGTAAAGTACACCTGATCAACCCCATCAATTTCTTCCGACTGATTAGATGAAGTAGGTAGGTCTGAACTAGAATTGGAATCAACAGGAGTCACCGGAGAACCTTGCAACTGCATCACATGTTCAGCATACCCATAAGTAGTAAGTGGTAGTTGTTAGTTTGAGGAGCCAAGTTTGTGTGTTAATATATATATATACAAGTATTGAGCAATATCATATATGTCTGGTAGGGTCAGTTTCAGGGAAAACCACAAAAAAATGAAAAAATGAGGAACACCCTGGTAACCATTCATCTGGACGGTAAGTACATGTGCATACAAGTGATGTCCAATATGCTCATGTGCATAGAAACCAAGGAACAACTTCACTTACTTGTATGCACATGTGCATATCGTACAGATGAATAGTTACCAGGGTGTTCCTCAGTTTCTCATTTTTTGAGGAGTTTTCCCCTAAACCTGTCTCATTTCTGCTATTTGTCTTTTAGCACCAACAAATTTTAAACATGCACAGTTTCTCGATGCATGGACACACATACATTGTCACATGTGTGGTCATATCTACAAGAAAAGGTGATTTTATGATTAACCAACCTCCTGAGTGTCACGATAATGAACGAGTACAATATGTTCCAGTTTCCTGTAACATAATCAAACAAACAACGATCAAAACATGAATATATAAATAAAAGAAACACACCGACAATATGTATTCCAAATCTATGACATCATATATCCATTAAATCTTTTATTGTTGCATACTTATCAAGAAGCCAATAACATCTACGAACAAGGGTTGTCCGATCCTCGCCATGTGCATAATATACATGAATTCTTTCATTGTTGCCAACCTGAACCAACCGCATTGAGAGGTTATATATCACAAGTTCATTCACTTTAAAAGAACAAAATATACAAGAAACTAATGCTCTACTCTATTAACATTTCCATTTTTTTCATTTATACTCTTTTGACCTTGTTTCCTGAAGTAGGCAGACCATAGGGTCCACTATACACTAACACGAACCTTGGGAAAAGTACAAAACGGATATCATGTAAACCAACATACACTAAACCTCTTAAATACAATATTTAGGATGACATTTGCTTATATACTACTTTTCTCCATTCCATTCTCTCTTTGATGGCCCCCATCTTCAATTTTCCTCGCATTAACTAAATAGGATTCACAACCACAACATGATTCTAAACTCATCATATAAATGAGACCTGCAAAAATGATAATGCTAGAATCTAGATGGCCTAAACTAATAGACGGCTAAGTAACTTATAAGATAACAATCTAAAACAGTTTACAAAGACAATAGAAGTGTCACAAATTTAATATAGGAAGTTTTTTTTTTGGAAGGGTGTCCCAGGCAATCCCGGCAAATTGTGACGGCAAGAAATCAGTCCTGATAAACTCAGTAGCCACAATTTTGTGGAGGCCTCGAATCGAACCCTGGGCAAATGGGATATTCCACCACATCCCCCACGACCTCAACCACTATGCCACAACCCTTGTAATTGACAACTACGTCATGTACCGATAATAGCACAAAATTATAAATGGGAACTTAACCTGGCCATACAATGGATACCCTTGTTTTTAGAAAATATTTGATAGAGAAAGAGAATCATGGTCAACCCTAAAAAGTTAGACCAATGACTCGACTAAATTCAGCAAATATCCCTGACCCACTTACTTTTGTCTAAATATAAACACAAGCAAGCATTTTATTGATGTGTAAGCTCAAATATACCTATATTAATCACGAATATGTGGTCTTGTCCCATTAGACATTAGTTACAACTTCACCAGATATCAATAATAGAACATTTATATTCATGTGGCTGCAAAAGAAGTTTTGGGTCAATGAGCTTCACACAGAAACTAATCAAAACAACAGAAATAAGGCAATGATTAGAGGGGAATAACGTTGAATCATATAATACGCTTTGGCTGATTGCTACTCGACTAGGATTTGGACTCCAGGGATTGAATTCCATTGTTTTCTTTCTGAATCTTACATGTGAATCATGGGTTGACAACTATGTCTAAGATCTTAATAGTGGTTAAATTCAAAAAAACTGATGAGTTCCATGACCAATAAAAGGCTTGGGTAATTTTGGATAAAAATTGTACAGTTTTGGGGTTCAATGGTGCAAATATTCTAGTACACCATTACTTATTTAATTAGAACATATCTCTCTTACTCAATAAGAAGAATCCATCAAACAAAAGAACTAACAAAATAGTGTACCTCCACTTACATTCGTGTTTAAATCATACAACTAGGTAGCAAACAATATGCCCATTCTCGTTCCTTTTTCCGATATGTGAAAGACCACTCAAGTCCCTTTTTTCCCCGATATACATAAGGACCCCAAGGCAACACTTGATAAAAGAAAAGTAAAACTCACCTTCAAGTGTTCATGAGCTTCCTTCACAGTCTTTCCATCTTTTTTCTTTTTCCAGTTGTGGCCATCTTTCCGGAAATTTCTGAGCATCTTCCGGTCAAATAGGACAATGGTGCCACCTATTAGATTGCATCCCAAATTCATAAACTCAATTACAATTACATTAACAATATTACTAGTAACTGTGAAATTAGAAATTATGTGTGCTTTTTAGAATTACTTGGTGGCAAATTAACCGGTTTCACACTGATGTTGAAATACTTGTGGTTGTAAAGTACAGCGTGAATCTCATTTGGCCGGAGCCATCTTGTCTTTGCTTCCTCCATCATGTTGGGAATGTCCAGATCTGTTAACGGAGTTAAGAATTAGTCTCAGTAAGACGTAACCATGGATTAAGAATGAAAATCTAACCGAAGAAAAGCAAATTTATGTAACCATGATAAACGTATATGCCCAAGAGACAGATGTATGTACTTCCAGTTCCACTGGTTCTTTCATATTTTCATAGTTTACATAAAAATAACTCATAGAAGGCCTATACAAATGTACTTAACAGGAACTTAACTTCGCCTTTTTATGGGTATCATTTAGAATATTGATACTTAACTTGGGAAAGGGTATACTTTGTGTTCCCATGAAAACTCCTACATCTTTGGAATGCAACTTTAAGAGCTTTGTGGCCTATGTAATGTTGGACTTTTAAAAGGGAAGTGAATGCTCATCAGATAGAACACCAATTTTCAGCGGCAATAACCGTGATTGATGTACCATGTCAAAAAGTGTGCTTCACAGGTTGTATGCTTGATATGCTGCAGTTCTGTTTACCGTCTCTTTCAACATAGCTTCTTCGTACAACTATGGTTCCAAACTTCTTGAAATTAATATAAAAATCAATCAGAAGAGACTTTCAAGTAAATGGATCGAATTAAAAATGCATTATACATTTCATGGGACCGTGGAGGACGACACACACAACCTTATTTTTTTATTGCCCTTCTTCTCTCCCAACTTAACTCCATCTGCCACTTAGGGGCTGTTTGGTTGGTTTTCCATTAAGTCCTGCATGGAACTATGGATAAAGTTGTCGGTATATATTGGGAAGATTTTTGTTTGGGAGGGTTTTTCATAGGGAGGAAGGAGCGCGTTTTTAATTGGGAAAAGCAGGTTTGGAATAAACCTGGCTTTTTGCATAAAGCTCCGCTCTAGAAGCTTACTAAAAAGCCACTGTCTATGTCATTAAGCCACTACCAAACAGTCATGTATAGCTTGACGAATAAGTTGCGAGTCCCATTAAGCTCATTAAGCTGCTAACAAACAGACCCTTACTTCCCATTTAAAGCTAAGATAAAAGAAAGAAATCACCATACATAAGGACAAGATGCCTAGTCACCCATGTGGGCTGCTTTCCCAATTGGTTGGAGCTAATCCGGAATAAGCTAGAAGTACTAAATTCAAATACTATGTTTACATTTTCTTATGGGTACATCAACAAAAGGAGGCAACAGTTTCACTTTGCCAGGTCTTGTCTTTCACATAAAAGAGATAATCACAAGTCACAACATCAAATCAATCTATAGTAACCACCAATATTACATCTAACTTACCATTTTTCCCTCTTTAACTTAACTCATTTACTCTATAAAAAGCAATTGTGGTGAGTTTGATGTAGATTTTTCCAAACAAAAACCATTCCCATTTGGTTAAACCTTTAAGCATCAGTGTTTTATCCTGATACCTTCACAATTCTTACCAATTTTTAACCCTCTTCTTCAGACATCAAACATCAACTTAAGTTAACCAATTAATCTATCTCCTCAATTCCAGTTAAAACATAGCACAAACATAAAACAATATGATCAGCAACACAAAGTCACAAAATACAAACTCAATTCCAGTTTAGAAGCATATGCATGAACAACAAAAGTTCAGAATCAAACACAAACCTTTCATGGTTTTGAAGCCATGAATCTCTGAACCAACAAGTCCTGCTTGTAAGGTAGGTTCCATCTCCGAAAAGGAACCTCTAGATTCTTAATTTAATCCAAGAAATATACAACGAAACTTCAAAAATTAGGTAAACTTGATTGGAATCGGGATGAACAACGAAAGAGTCAAGTCAAAACCCACTAAAATACCTATTACACCGTACAGTAATTACCAAAATCAATCACTGCGATTGATCTACAGTAGCCCACGACCCAGAAGCTCACAGCGGACCAAATTATAAGTAAGAAACTGCAAAATCGGCAGATAAGAGAAGACCCAATTCGAATTTTGTAGCGTATATATAGAGGGAGGAACGATAGCATTGAATCAAATCATGGAATCGAGAAATGTGGGTTGAGTAGTCAACTTTCTCCGTGGGAAAGAGAAAGGGGGTGTTTGGGTTATTCACTTATTTTGGTCGTGCATCAACAATAAACATTTTTGATTATTTCAATAAACCGACGTCAAAATGATATAATTTTAAAAAAAAAAAATTAATCATTTTTAACTTATAATAAATTATAAAAAAATTATAAAAAAACATAAATTATTTCAAATAAAAAATCCTAAACACCCTCAAAATAATCATACAAAAAGTTGATTCAGTAAAAATATATTCTACGTTGATTCAAAATTAAAATATTATATTTATTTAATAAAATGTTATTTTCCATTTAAATATTTATTTTTAAACGTAGAAATATATTAAAAGTATTTATTTATTATTGTAATTATTTTTGGGGCGAACATATCTTTTAAAAAATTTATGATGAAACTTCAAAATCTCTAAAATTAAAGTACATTTAATTCCTATAGATTCTTATTTTGGATATTACAATATTTAATTATATTATTTAATGTTTCATTTATCTAATTAAATATTATTTCTTTCTCTAAATATTTATTTTCAAAGTGGTAAAAATATATTAAAAAATATTTCTCTTTTTTTCTAATCATTTTTAAAGTGTTCTCCAATTTTGAAGATTTTGACATTATCTTTTGCTTTCTCCATTTTGAAGAATCTATTAGAGCAAAAAAAAAACAAACACGTTCAAAATCTTTCATTATTTCTATTTTTTTATTTTTGGGAATCTCTTGGAGATGTTCTTACACTTTTTCCTCTACTTTCTGCATTTTGAAAAAAAAAAGTTTTGGAAGGTTTGTTCTAACAAAAAAACATGTCTAAAATATTTATTTTATCTATTTTGTAGAATTTATTGAAGATGTTTTTATACTTTTCAGGTTTGTTCTTACAAAAAAACATGTCTAAAATATTTATTTTCCTCTTAATAATTCACATTGGAAATTCCGACCAAAGGAACAGGAAAAATGAATTAATTCTGTATATTATATCCTCCTAATAATTTAAAAATTCTCACAAAAAAAGCAAGAAAAATGAATTACTCATGTAAAATTAAAATAATATTTAACACATTCATCTAATCTCGATTAAAATAATATTTAACTAATTATTTATTTTATTATATTGAATTAAACATGATTATTCAATTTCATCCTCTTTTCCCTTCCCTAATTTGTAATTTTTTATTAATTAAAATTAGTGCTAATAATATGTGTAATAAACATATAGGGTGCGTTTGGTGCGCAGACAAGACTGGACAGGACAGGACAGGATAGAACGGGACAGGACAGGACATGACAGCTGTTTAGCGTTTGGTAAGACAGGACAGGACATGATAGAACTGGTTAAAATGACCAATTTACCCCCAGTGAGCTGTTTAGTGTTTTTTCACTACGAAATGCATTCTGGTAACGCTGGTCCTACTACCACTACAGCCCTAATAATTCATCAACAACAACAACATTCAGCAATCATAATCAATGTAAACTCTCGAAATAAATCATAATACTTCATTAAAATCCCTAATAAGTACTTCAATTAATCAAGTTGTTGGCGAAATCGAGTACGAAACCACCATCAAAATATAATTCCTTACTTGCATGAAACAAGAAGAAAGGTATTTGAAGAGTTTCTTCAAATTCGTGATGTAGTTGCTGTAAGAAGCAGTAGCGGCCATCGGATAAGCAGCGGCGGCCATCGGAAGAAGCAGCAGCGGCCATCGGGAGAAGCAGCAGCGGCGGCCATCGGGAGAAGCGGCGGCGGCCATCGGGAGAAGCGGCAGCGGCGATCGGAGAAGCGGCAGCGGCGGCCATCGAAAGTCGCCGTCACCGGTCGCCGGTTGAGCGGTGGAAGAGATGGAGGAGAGGAGAGTGAATGGGAAGAAGGAAGGTATGCGTATGAGGTTTTTGAGGGTAAAGTGGTAAAAAGTTTCTTGTTCTACTTAGTTCTATGGGTAAAGGGTGGACAACCTTGTCCCACCCTTGTTCTAGTTTGTTCTAGTTAGTCCCACATAAAACCACAYCAAACATAGGACAATTGTGTTCTGTCATGTCCTGTCCCAACCTGTCCAACATACCAAACGCACCCATAATGTTTAATTAAAATCTAATTAAATAATATTGCATTTTTAATTACTAAATAATTTCATTTATTATGTGAGGGGTGATTTTACTATTTAAATACAAAAAATTGAAAATAATTGCCATTAAATATGACTGGAAAGATACTCGTGCAATGCAGCGAAATAAATCTTGATTTTAATATTTTATTTTATTCTTTATCTCAATCGATGTTACAGTATGGTCGTAGGTGATTTTGAAAAAACGATAATGTTTTTACTTTTAAATGAAATATAAATTTGAAAATATCATAAAAATTTGACAAAAATATATCAATATTAGTATCAAATTAACTATCTAAAATTCTTATTTTTTGTGTAACTTTTTAATTCAATATTTTTTATTATAATTTAATTTAGGTTCACCGTAGTTTATATTTGGTTTAATAATATAATTTTCTTATAAAGATAATAATTAATTATTTTGTTAGAACTCAATAATTATTCTAATTATATTTTAGATTTTTTATATTTTAAAATGAGATGTTTATCCTCTATTGATTATGTTTATCCGCAGTTAGTTACACGAATTTAAATACGGAGCTTTAATAAGTTGTACTTATGCATAATATGCATAATTACTTGAAATCCTGAATTTTAAATAACAACATACTTCATGCATAAAAAATGATTTTTAAGAGTTTCTGTTAAATGTTTTATAATATAGTATAGATACTAAAACGATCACTTTTTAAATTAGTAAACATTATCTTCTAATACAATATTGGTTTTTTAATTTAGGGTTTGTTTAACAGTTGCTGAATGGTTTGATACATAATTATTAAGTCATAATTATTAAGAGGCTCTCATGATATAGTGCAAAATGAAATATAATTATTTGGTAATTGTTTACGATGAAATTAAGGCGCTGAATGATTAAGGGAGACCCAATATACAAAATCATCCAGAAGATTTTAGAACCATTAAGAGGCTGACTTTTTTTGTTAAACAAAATTCACCTCTTAATATAACTATTAAGAGGTAAACAGACAACCCCTTAAGCATTCCTCTGTACATATTACATGTCTTCAAGTTTGATTTTTTTATTTATATTCAATTGTGACAATCTATTGCAGATAAATAAAAATATTTTTATTTTTTTAACAAAAGAATAATATGTCAATGATTGCTTGATAGATAGATATGAAAACACGTGATTTATGTTTTTAAATTCATGAACCTGGTTAATTTTATCAAAATATACATCAAATGAATGTTGCATTCCTGAACAGTCACTTTCATTAACGACGTATGTTTCGACTGTTTTGCGATGATATGTTTTCTTACGTAGACTTTGTTGTCCTTTTGGAAGGTGTGAAATATCTTGATCGCAAAAATAATGTCAAATTGGTATGATTTGTTGATCTGGTTTATAATTGATAGTTGTTACAAGTGTTTTAATGTTATTATCCTTTTTTTTTTCATAAATAGTTTGAGGTTATATTGGTAAAATATAAGTTTATTCTTTATTTGTTCCACCATATTCCATCATGTTCCATGGTGTAAGGGTGGAACAGGCTTGTTCCACTTTGTTCGGGGTTACTCCACATAAAAGTCCTACAAAACATGGAACAAGGATCCCTGTTTTATTATGTTTTGTCATGTTCAGTGTATCAAACGCACCATAAAAAACAGGTATGTAGTCATTAAAAATAAGCAAAGGCTCTATGAATGTACATTTTAAGATTTGGTATTGTAAGTGTAAGAATTTCTTAAAGTTCCACGTTTTAGCTATATAAAGCTAACTAATAAACACATTTGAATACAACATAATTGTTAGTCTCTACTAACACTCCTATAATTTTGGATTTTTTTTTTGACGAAATTAAATTTTCAACCTCGAATTAAAAATGATATATACTTCAAACTAAGTGATGGCCAAACCGGCCCGGGACTGTCGGAGTACTGGGGCCGGTAAGGACCGGCTATAGGACCGTCAATCGAGGCTGGTTATGATTTTGGAGGGTTTTGAGGGACCGATTACAGCCCCGGCCCGACCCGACCTTATTTTTTAAAAAAGTTGTGTTTTTTTAAATATAGTTGTTATATGACCGTTTTTTTGTCTTTTTTCCCTTCTAAAACCAAAAGAGCAATCATTCTTCAATAAAAACATGCATGATTGATGCCCTTAGATAAAAAGCAATTGATGATCGCACATGGTTCCTGAGATTCTTACAAAAGTGAGATTTTTAATATAAGTCAACCATATATATATATATATATATATATATATATATATATATATATATATATATATAAAGCATTTGGCCAAAACTCTTAAAAACTCTTAAAACTCTTAAATCTCTTAAAACTCTTAAAACCTTTTAAACTCGTTCATCCCTATCCGATTTCATCCCATATCTGAATTCGTGTAACTAACTGTAGATAAACACAATCAAATACAGGATAAACATCTCATTTGAAATATAAAAAATCTAAAATATAATTAGTATAATCATTAAATTCTAACAGAATACTTAATTATTATCTTTATAAAATTTATAATATTAAACCAAAAATAAATTATTTTATTATTAAACTTAATTAAATTATATATAAAAAATATATTCTATATTATAAATCATTTAACAAAAACTCTTAAAAACCATTTTCTATGCGTAAAGTACTTTTTATTAATGCATATTACTTAAAACTCAAGATTACAAGTAAATTATGCGCATGTACAACTTATTAAAGCT